AGTGGCACGTTCTTCATCTGCACTGTCCAGTACAGTAACCACTAGTCACGGGAGGCTATTGGGCACTTGAAAGTGCTGCTAAGGAAAGAAACTTTTAATTAATTTACTTAATCTCTATTTCAATGGACACACACCATATTGAACAGTGTTGCCTCCAAGCAAACTACCCCCATACATACCTAAAGACATTATGTAAAAGGTCACTGTGGCCTAGTGAGGCTCTGGATCTGATGATCTACGCCCAAATACTGACTACCTTTCGGAAGCTGAATTATGCTGGGCAAGCATCTCAACTTCCTATGCCTGTTTCAACCTTAGTAATATAAGGGTGATGATAGTATCTATTTTATTGGCTCATGAGGATTAGATGGGAGGATTCATAAAAAATGGTTCTCAAAGTTTAGCATACATCAGATTCACCTGGAAAGCTAAGACACTGACTGATTGCTGGGTCCATTCCCCAAATTTTCAGTTCTGTAGGTGTGAGGTAGAGCCAGAGAATTTGTATTCCCAATGAGTTCCTGGGTGATGCTCACGTTACTGGTCTGGAAACCACATTTGGGAAAACATTGTCATGAGACATTTAAGAAGGTGCCTGATACATAGAACTCAATGGTGTCAGTTATTGTTTTATGAGAGGCATCTTTATGGTATGCATCAGGAGGGTTTCTGAAGGAAAAACTGCACTTAATTGGCGTAGGTTTGAAGTATTTTGTCAGCAGGTGGCGCTACAGAGCACCAAAGTACCAGACCATCTCTACTTCCATCTGAAATATTTCCCACCATTTCAGATCTCCACAAAGCATATAAAAAAGAACAATTAAGATCACCTTTTGAGGTGAACCACAAATTTCGCTCCTATTTTTCATCTTTACTGGAAAGATTGTGAATGGACTATAAATGACAAACGGATGTGAAAATAGACCTAGGGCCCAGCCTGGTTCCTTTATCAGCTTCCTGAGATCATGGGGTGTGACCCGTTGTGTCAACTGGGCTGGGTAACAGATACCCAATAGATGGTAAAGCACCACTCTGGGTGTGTCTGGGAGGGTGTTTCCGGAACAGATTAGCGTTTGAATTAGTAGACTACTTGAAGAGGACCGTCCTGGTTGGGTAGTTAAGGGCCAATCAGTTGAAGGCCCAAATAGAACAAAAGGGAGGGCCAAATTTGTTCTTTTCTTGAGCTGGGACACTCACCTTCTCCTGCCCTGGAATGGTGAGGTCCTGGTCGTCAGACTCTGGGACTTGCACTAGTGACACCCAGGTTCTCCGGCTTTTGGCCTCAGACTGAGACTTTCATTACTGACTCCCCTGGTTCTCTGGCTTCTGGGCTTGGACTGAATTTACATTATTGCTTTCCTGGGTTTTCAGCTTGTAGACAGCAGTAGCATATGATGGGATTTCTAAACTCCCCAACTGTGAGCCAATTCCCCTCCTCTCTTCTTTATCTATCTATATCCTATTGCTTCTGTTATTCTGTTATTTTGGAGAGTCCTCTTTATCATTAGGGGCCAATTTAGTTTTTTTTAGAGAGTCTCACTGTATCGCCCACGGTACAATGCTGTGGCATCACAGCTCACACCAACCTCCAACTCCTGGGCTAAGGCGATTCTCTTGCCTCAGCCTCTCGAGTAGCTGGGACTACAGGCGCCTGCCATAACATCCAGCTATTTTTTTGTTGCAGTTTGGCCGGGGCCAGGTTTGAACCTGCCACCCTCGGTAAATGGGGCCCAAGCCCTACTCACTGAGCCGCAGGCACCACCTCAGGGGGCCAGTTTTGAAGCTGATCACTCAGGATCACATTCAAAGAATAACAGCAGGATGCATCACAAATCCTACCTCCCCAGGGCAGACTTTGCTCCTTACAGGTTAGAGGTTTTTCTCCTCTGAGATTCTTTCCATAGAGTCTTCAGTTCTTTGGAGGAAAGGTGCTATAAAGGTGTAAAACCCACACAGACAGATACACAATTGGTTTGGTCCACCTTTAATTTAGTCACTTTCCATTATATTCAGAATCTTTTCAAACTTTCCTTTGAAA